CCCTAATATGCACATCGAAAATCGTCATGAATAGTAATAAGTTTCGCAAGTTAAGTTTTGTTGTTTACCGAAAACAACTTTGAAGTCACCAAAAAGTCAACTCGAACACATATCGATTTGAAATAGCAAAACGTGTTGTGTAGTACCTTTTAAAATAACTAAAAAGATTATTTAATGAAAAAAAAAATTGAATAATTATTTTTAAACACAAAGCAAACATAGCTTAAAAACAAAAAGGAAAATTTGATCAACAAAATGTAATAATGAAATCGTTCTATTCTTTGGCAAAACAATTACCATTTTCCATTTTCGTTCCAAAAGATATTTGCAAAATTATGCCGTTGCACAAATTATAGTGAATATAATCAATAACTGAACGAAAATCAATTAGGAAATAAGTCTGGAAAGATGCCAAGGGACATAAGCGCCAAATCACTTACTAAAAAGGAGTTGCCGAAGAAGGTAGGGAATAATGTTTATAGCACTGAGTGAAGATAACTTCAACTAATTTCGTTTAAAATTTATATTCTTCAAAGACTCCATCACCAACAGGTTTAGTAACTAACAAAACCACATTGAAAGCTAATAAAACCATTAGTAAGAGAAAAACATCAAGGAAAGACATTGATGGCGCGAGTACTACTCATCACGGCAATACTGGAAGTAATAAAAACGTCATTCGAAAACTTCAGATTGCAACACCAAATTTAAAAGATATTGGATATAAAATAGAAAATATACAGAGTCGTCTGCATCAAGCAGGGGAAGAGATGTTGGAAATAAGAAAAGTTCAGCAATTCGCAATAAACGAAGTAAGATTTTACAACAACAGACTTAAACGTCTTGCGTCCTATGAAAAAGAGAAACACCGAAACATCGTAGAAGATAATGGAATTGTAGTACAATCTAATACCAATTGCTCTGAACTCCCAGCATCATCAAACAAATTACTTGAAAATGTGATTAAGTCATCCAAATCCAACTCCTCAACTAAAATTTAAGAGAAAGCATAGTGAAAAAGTTGTATCGTAAGTGAACTCAGACAATACATGGGTTGTGTGAGTATTGTGATTACCTCAGTCTGTTTCTATAACACTACAGAAATTATCCATATGTTTGTCTGTTGAGAGGAATTCGAGGTTTAGCCATGGATAGACAGCTACATTTCGATGGTTGATGGTTAGATTCTGATGATTATACTGATTATGTCAGTAGCTTCAGTATTCGACACACTTTTTTCCGAGATTCAGATTTTTACAAGACGTTTTAAACCTCTCTGAATATCAAGAAAATTATGACTTGGGACTAGATTAAGTGAGTTACGTCCGTAGACTAATAGTACGAAAGAAACTTCAATTAACTGTCAGTTGAAAAATATCAAATATTTTATTGTCAACCGCTTCATTTGAAAGAGTAAATCATTTGGCTTTATCTAGACAAACATTTAAATTATTGCTCATTCGATCCAATTCATGATATAGTTTTTGGTTAAATTTTTCTAAAATATCCGGAACTACTAAAATAAATAATAATAATACTTTTATTTGAAAATAACAATTTTGCGTATGGGAAACATTTATTTTCACGAACAGTGAAATAAGCGATTTCAAAAGTACCTTCTATATATCAGAAAAAGATATATTTGCTGACCAAACGATAAGAGTGTTCTGAATCACAAACTTAACATGGTTTTTTAGTGTAAATTTAAATCTGTTCAATAAAATCTGTAATTCAGTTTATCTTATTTTCTAATAAAACTGTAGCAAAATTATGATGTTAGACAAATTTTGATAAAACGATAAATAAATCGAACCTAAGTACATTTGTTATATGGTTGTCTTGATATGTGTAAGAATATTCTCAGAATACTGTTATCGAAAAAGGTAAGCAGTGAAATTCAAACTGATAGAAGTTCAGTTTAGAACATATATTCGTAATGCATAGAACTTCTCAGAGGGCTTCATATTGAAAAGTTTCAAAAATACTGTATTGTCAAAATTTTATCCAACTATTAGTGCATCTGAACCACCATAGAAGACTGTTGATGCTGTCTCATGTATTCATTTGCATAAAAATATCTGTGGTGATGGTATAAGTACGTGTTCATCCATTGATGAGGATAAAAGGAAAAATGAAGTCCTAGAAAAATTTTAATATATAAATTGACGGATATTCAGGATATTCGGGATTTTCAAATCAATGTTCAAAAATTGTGTTTAAAAAAATTGAAGAAGGAATAATGAGGATGGAAGTAGTGCAACAAAATGAACTTGAAAAAGAAGACCACCTAAAGTACAAACTGAATAATATCCGTGTGGAACTGTTGAACTAAGTTTTTGGGAAAACAAAACAATAGGTGCTGAAGATATATAATACTACATTATACAAATTTATTAAACTTTTTTTGATCTTTGGAAAGGTCCGTGGTTTTTACCTAAATACCTACAACAATTTGTATATTTGTCAGTTATATTCGATATTTTAAGGAAAAACGGACAAAGACATTCCGATAGCTTAATGGATGATGCCTGTAAGTAAGGTGCGCATTTTAGGGCCATTCACTTAGCTTAGATTCGAGGTGCAGACTTATAGTTTTGACTGTCAGTCAAGAGGGAAAATGCGATTACTGCATTTTGGCATGCTTACCAAAATTTTTATAAGTACAACAATCAGCTTCTCGCCAACATGTTGTGAATGATTGTCTGTCACTAAAAATTTGCATTCCGTCAGTCAGGAGTATATTTTAGCATGGTTACCATCGTAGTAACAGTGTGCACAAACAGCCCGAATCTTCAAAAATTTTGATTTTGACTGTAACATCTTGACTGTGAGCACGTTTAAGTTCGGTCGTTAGAATAAATGAGAGCATGAGAGAGCGCAACTTGACTGACAGTCAAAACTGCAAGTCTGCATCGAGCTTTAGTGTCGACCTAATAAGTTGTGATGGCACGGATTTTTTCGGTCGTTTTAGAGTTTAAAACTTGTTTATTTTGTACTCAAATTGATTTCATACAAAACACATAATAAATAATTTTAATTATATACGAGAAAATATTTAATTTTAATCATATATGTGAAAGAAATAATAAGGGGAGTAGAATGGAACTCTGGATTTTATAATGATGGCGTTGGGATTCCTATGTGGGAATAAAACGTAATTAGTAAAGCAAGATATATATGTTATCAATATACATATCCATATGCTTCTGAATATAATTTTATATTCGTGTGTATATTCCTTCGAATATTAGTTGCTAAATGCGTTGATGTCAAACCGCCGTTCTATAAGCGATTATATATATTTTTCTTATATTATTTTAATGCACGGTGACTTAAAACCGCCATTGTGCCGCATAGTGCGGCCGATTGCCGAAAAGCTGGCCAAAAGTCAAAAGGTTGGTTAAAGACATGATCAGGGATAATAAATAAACTAGAAAACTATTTTGCTTTTTACTTCCGCCACTATAGTAGTCGCAACATGACATATGTTTAAGTAGCATTTATCAGCTTAGTGAATAATCCCTCATTAAGAGTTAAATAAAATCTTTAAATAAAAATGAATCGCAATGAAAAATTAAATAGACTTATGAATGTAAGTAAAATATAAGATAATAATATCCAAATAATAAATAATATCTCATTTATTATTACCGGTAGGTCAGACACTAGAAGACGCTCAAGAATCATGCAATAATTAAGATAGTATCACAACTTGAAATTCATTGTCTGGGAATGAAAATGGTTTCTTCCTGTAACAATTTATGTAGAACTTATTGAAAAAATTATTATAATTATAAAATGTTACATTAAATGATGGTCTCATTTGTATTCATATTTAAATCTCACAACATACATATAGATGTATGTTATTTATTAATTTATATATCCAAATATTATTTATTTATTAATTCATATCTATTATTTAGAAAGTTATATAAAAATATAATAATAAAATTCCATTATTATGATTTAATATGATTCAATCAATAAATATATGATTATGAAATTGAAATTGCTATTTTTTAATATTCACTCTTATGTTAGTGGTATTGCGAAAACCATTTTAAAATTATCAAATCCAATTTCAAATTTTTAATCAGCGACCCCAAAAACTATACAATTCAAATTTTAAGACCATTTAATTCATTTAATTTAATGAGACCATTTAATTTAATTTTTGGACAGATTTTCGGCAATCAGCCGCACTGTTCCCGCTTTTATACTAATCAGCTGAGCTTTTATTGTGAAGTTGTGACTGTGTATATATTGTGGGGGCGTTGGGATGGCGCACTGTCCATTAAGTGGCCCTACTGAAGTGAAGCATTAGCCGACGTAGACCACGAAAGGACTTGTTTCTGTTTTCGTACTTCGAATTCTTGGTTGTCGTTATTGAGTTGAAGCTAAGGTGGCTTCCGTTCGCATAACTACCACTCTTGTTATTGCAACCAGCTCATTTAGCTTGAGGTGGCCTGCCAATTTAGCACCACTTGGTATCCCAAGACAATCATCCCCTGCTTGTCAGTGCTGGACATTGACACAATATACGCACCGCTGTCTAATTTTCTTCAAAATACCTCTTTGAGATGATACTTGAAGTTTCCATGTACAATAATCAATGAGGTCAGCTAACTTAGGGTGCTCCGCCTAAGCCTATGTGTTTTGTTTGACTATATTCTTATAGGCCCTTCTTTAAAGCGAATATTATGACGACTCTAGCTTTGATGTTCTTTTCTATTGCTTTGTTTTCATTTCATAAAATTGCACACAAATATCATTTATTGCAAATCATCATATTAAAATGATTAATAAAAATTTTAATATAAAAATGTTTAAAGTGAGAAATAAAAAAGGTATGAATACTATTGTTTTATTGAAATATATTTCAAAAGATGAAAAATCAATGTTTTAATTAACAAAGTAAACATAATTTATTAATGTGAATTTATGTGTGATTATCAAAATCTGTAATTCAGTTTATTTTATTTTCCAACAAATTTGTTCACATTTTGGTCCCGTAAAATTTAATCAAAATTATGACGTTGCAAAAATTTTGGTAAAACTATAAATAAATTGAACTGAAATTCATTGGTTAAATCCATATTGTAAAAATGTCAAAGGAAATTTCAAAAATGCGATTGCCGAAAAAAGTAAGTGATCATATTAAACTAAATACTACTAAAGTTTAAATCTTATATTCGCAATACATAGAGCTTCTCAGATGGCTTCATATTGGTAAATTCCAAGAAAACTGGAATGGCGAATATTTATGCAACCATTAATACCTCTGAAACACCAAAGAAGGACAATGATGCTAGCTTATCAGTTCAATTGCATCAGAATATCTGTGGTGATGGTTTAAATACATATTCGTATATTCATGAATGTGATGAGGAAGGTGATATCATAGACAAACTAATAATATCAAAATTGATGATTTTTCAAAATCGAATAAAAAACTTAATAAAGCTTTCGAAAAAAATAGAGAAAGGAATATGGAGGATAGAAGCGATGCAACGCAATGAATCCAGTACGTAAACAATATGTCCTGAAAAGAAGAGGAAAACAGATTTAGTGTAGGAAGTGGGCGTGTTAAACTTTTCAATTAAAATTTTGGAGGAAATATAGTTACAGGTATTTTAGATACAAAATATGTTAGCAAATATCTTTAATATTCTTAATCTTTAAGGAGGTTTATTGTTTGTAAGAGCAGATGAAGGAAACCCATTTACAAGATTGTCAGTTGATTATAATTCGAACTCCTAAGTAGAAAATACAACTACACTTTGATGCCATTGAGTGCTTGTATTGATGGCATGATTTGTAAAATGATCGCGTTATTCCGTGCTACACAGAGGGACGTTTAACTTACAACTTACCACATTCTAGTTTATTTGTTTATTTTACTAAATTTTTGATAATGGTGATGAGGATGTCTTTCTTCATCTTTCGAGTGACATACATTTATGAAATGGATTTTTTTATATTCATTACTATGATATGAGTTTTTTTGGTTGTTCATAAAACTTCTGGATATTTCTTCGAAATTTGACGTGGGCCTTAGTTAGTACTACTTTTGAAATAATAACGTTATTTTCTTTATTAAATTATATAGAGGAGGGATCCTAAAATCAGTGGAAGATAACAAATAATTGTTAATTGTTCTTGTATCTTAAGTATGCGTCTGATCAAGGAAAGTCGACTGTTATGTTGCCTCAGTGGTTTAGCACACGAGTCTGCATTTTAGTTCTATCCAGTTTAATGCCTAGCAATTACAATCCATAAAGTATATATGGACAATCAAAAAAAATAAATATTTTAAAATACCTTTTTTGATAGATACTTGGCAATATTCGAAAAATATCAAATGAAATTCAATTAATTACATGCACTTTTGAATTGTTTTTTTTGGCAATCGAGTCCATTAACAGATATAATTAATCTCAAAAAAACATTTGTGGTAATGTAAATAGACCCCATCTGAAATAAAGAGGAAAGATTTTTTCAATAACAATGAATGAATAAAAAATATGTAGATTTCATGAAATCACAGGTTCTCTACCTATCATATATATATGATATATAATAAACCTTAAGATTTGATGAACCACCGTTAAGTTAAATATATAAGTATGTTATGTATTAGAAAGGTAATAACATCCATTTAACATCCATTTTCAAAATATTTTGCCTTAAAAACGTTTAGTATATTTGAAAATGCATCACTAATGGTAAGTGAATGATATATGGTATATATTCACTCACTTAAGAATGTGTGTTTACTTAAGGTCAATGACTCTAGAATCAAGAGCATATAAGACTGGACAAGAGAGAATAAAATGGCTTTTTGGATGTGAATGACAGGTTCTGAAAAATTTAGCCAAATTAAAAATCAAACTTTTTGGAGATGGGATGATAAACATATTTCATACTAATATGAATACGAATCTAGAAACAATTAATAAAATATATACGCGTCAAAATATATTGTTAACCTTATACGAGTATATAATTCAAGCCACGATGAAAATACATCTCACCAAATTAGGATCTATATTTCGACTTGAATATATATGTATAGGCATGGACATTAATATGCATGTATTTACTTCTTATGTGTAAATATTTGCAGAACGAAATAAGCCATCTTTGTAAGAGCTATAAGGCTTTTAAATTACATACATTGAGTTCTTATATATGAAACATATAAATAAGTGTGACTAAATCGTACTTCTATTTTTTATTTTACCGAGAGATTGACTTTATCGTCATTAATTGAGTTTTTTGTTTATATATCTCCTGAGGTGTCATACAGGCTTTCATGATAAAATGAGTTTGTCTTCAAATAATATATTTTTTCTCTCTGTACCGATGTGGTACGAAATATTAATAAATAAATAATGTTTAGGATAATATGTTATGTATTTTTACAAATTAGTACATACCTTACATGAGTTTTGTTAATGTTACAATATTTCCAATATCCAATGTAATCGTATCATTTTCAAATCGTATCGTAGTCATCATTTCTTAAGAATTCTTTATTAATTCCATTGAATAGACTGATTTAAAATAATTGTCACAAAATATTGTGTATGAAAAGTTACATCTGAAGTTAAATTCGAGAATAGATAAATAGAGTATCTGATGGAAAGGATTTCACGTATAGTTTTTTTAATACATGATCTTTTGTAAGAAACAAAAATGTATGAAGCAACAATCGATGTGTTTCTACCTCTTTTAATGTCAGCCATTAATCACTTTCTTTACCCAACGAATTTAGGTGATGACTGTAAGGTGTTTACACCGATTATCATAAAACAATTTGTATTGCAGTTATGGATGCATTTGCTATACGAGTGGGAAGAATTGTATTTCGCTTTTTTAATTTTCGAAGTCATAGTCACAGCAATTAGTTAAGCAATGCAAATAGTTAAGCAATTTCAAACCCTGAATAATGGAATAAATATGATTTACAGTCTTCTTTGCCACGAGATCATGATGAAGTCTCAACATTTTTAGTCATAGACCTTTGTTTCGTAGTGTATATTCAAAGAATTATTGGTAATAGTAAGGAAAAGCTAATATATCCATAAGGCTTCTTTTAAGGTATAATTCTGTAAATTGTAATTTTGGACTATATAAGTACTATATACTATATTTTCTTATATATTTATTCATCCCGATATGTATTGTATTTAGTTACCTATTTTTTTATTTAAATTAAATTATTTCACTTTCATTTACTTCCCTCATCGAATTTTCATGTGCTTTCTTTCATTAATTTTTCACAATCGCAGACTATGAAAATGTGTCAGTCTGTCTGCTGGATGAACTTATAGCGGTTGCAACACCCGTTATGTACTTGATTATTAATGTTTGTATGAATGATTTATTATGTTTTCCTATTCACTTGAACTTTTCACTTGTATGCATATTTATTCCTTTCTCAGCGCTCTGATGTTGTGATTTTGTGGTATTATAGGATTGTAGGATTGTTCCACTGTGGATTCGCCGCAGATTTTGTAGTGAAAGTTGCAGTACTCTACGTCGCTGTTGTTGTTGTTGGTTCTGCGGGTTTCGTTCCGATGTTGTAAGTGTTGTAAAGTAGGTTAACGAAGGTGAAAATAATATAAGGGACACCATTAAAAAAATTCATGTTTGCATTTTTGAAGTGCATAAATGAAAAATATTAAAAAAAAAATGATGAACTAGAAACATTCTTTGAAAATTCAATATTGGATTTTTGTTTTTAATTATATGAAATAATATTGTTCCATATATTTTTCTAAAGCTGAACAATCAAAATATTTGCTTTGGTTTTTGGTTTTGCACTCAACAATCTCTTAAATTCGTTGTTGTTGTTGTAGTTTCTTGAATTGGTTGGCTGAGGGGCTTATCCATGTCCCACATTTTAACTATACTGGAGTTCATATCGTTTATCGTTTAACTGATGACGAACCGTAGGTCAGCATATCTTCCTGTGCGTCGTACTCAGTCGAAAAGGGTTTGTAATAATAACAAGTCTTAAGAGCAGAAAATAATACGACATTATTAGCACATCTTCATTTTTACTTTCAACTTATTAAAATTACTCAAATTATAAATATTTGAATCTGATATCAATTAATGTAAATTGATCCTGATAAAAAATACATTATCTATATCTATACATAACCTATATCTGAAATCAAATTAGTGGATTGCTATAGTTTCTGTTGACAAAATAGTTTTATATTTTAACACATTTTTTTTTTATTAAAAATACGAGAACTTTTAGATGGGCTTATAACAAACTCTTAAATGACTTAATAATTTGGGTCCACTGACTTCGAGAGCATCTTCTTCTATATCACATCTTATATGTTCCTTTAATTATTTTGAACTTCGTAGAAATATTAAGGCTTTTATTCGGAAAATGTGCGGAAAATCATTCCACTGATCTAAGCCAACAAGATTTTCTAAAAACAAAAAAAAAACTTTCAGTGAAGTGAAATCTATTGGAATAGTTATGTTTGATAATATCTGGCATAATAGGTTGATTGTCAAACTAAGAAATTCTAGTATTCCAATCGAAATGATAAAACTTTTAACTAGCTTTTTGGTCAAAGTCCAAAGCCACTTTTCATCAATATAAAAAATTAACTCAGGTTTCCCTTATAGATCTCTTTTATCTAGTTTACTGTTTAATTTATAGACATGAGATTTTTCTTTGAAATCTATAAGCGCAGTTCGCTCTTTGGTGACATTTTTGTTAAGCAGCTGACAAGAAAAACTTGTTCTATTATAAGGAAACTATAATTTTATATCAGTAAGATAAAGAAAGACTTCCAGAGATGGAGAGTTAGAGTTAATACTGAAATCCGTAGGAATCAAAATCTAAGAAATATAAAAGACAATGTGGAAATAGAATAGGAAGATAATGCAAAATTCTCAAATTCTCAACCTTTGATAGAAGATGCACTTGACTAAAGAATATAAGGGTCAAAAAACTGACTTTTAATATAACTTAAAATACTCTAAAATTATTAGTACAACAAACGTTGAGTGTGAAAAGTAAAGCTCACAGTAATTCAGAATTGCACTCGCTTAAAAGAAGTACATCATATATGTCGTATAGTTCTGTGAATTCACTAGTATAACTTAATATCACAATTCAGTGAAGCTCTGCTTAGAGTGGATTCCAAGTGATCACAGACAATGTTAAATACCATGATTTGTCAGAAAAGGTGACATACATGAAATTTTAAGAATCCAAAGTCTGCGAACTATACTATTGCAAAATCATCTGAATTACTCATTATTATAATTCAGTGAAGCTTTTATGGATTATGGATTATCCAAGTGGTCATAGGCACTATTAAGTAAAACGGCTTTAGATTCCAATTTGCGTTTCATCAAGTAAAGGAAAAGACTTGATATATAAAATATTATATAAATTATTAAGACAGTCCGACCGATCGCAAAAACGGAATGAAAGGTTTCTTGTTAACCTTAAAATGCTAACACTCCGAGCGATAAGAGCTCGAATGCGAGAGCATAATATATAACTAAAAATTGTCCTGTAATGTTTTTTCGGACTCCTAAACAAACTAGCGTTCTAAAAAATAAATCAGATATCCTAAAATAAACACCCTGTATGTCAATGTATCTGCAAATTTATGTAAATTTACTCGTACACTAACAATAATCAAATGCAATCATAAATGGAATCAACGCACCACCACCAACAACAACAACAACAACAACAACAACAACAACGAGGACTTGAAATATAGTTACAACAACAATTAATGCTAGTCGCAGCATAAAGCGTGGCAGAAAGTTACTTTATTGCATTTCATATGCACACAGACACACACACATATGCAGGAGAGTAGGAGCTTCAAAGTAAATCTACGTAAGCATGGCATACGGTTAGACCTCTGCATATGCATATGTGCATGAATGTATGTATGTGTGTTTACGCTTCCTCTGTTGAAATCAAACTTCAGTT